GACGAGGTGCTCAGGGACGTGGGTTAGTGCTGGGCTGGGCAGTGCTGGGTCAACAGTTGGACCTGATGGTCTTAAAGGTCTTTTCCAACGGAAAGGATTCTATGATCCTAAGATCCAGTGCTACCTGTGCATCCATTAGGCGTAATGGGATAGTGTCACAAACTTGAGTGCAGACAGTGCTACCCTCCCGGGCCCTCGTGCTGCAGCTGTTCTGCTTTGGCTGGCTCCAGCAGGTCCATCTGTCCTGCAGTGGGACCTCTGGTTCTGTGTCTGTGCTGCAGAAAGGGATGCAAGTTGCAGAGCTGCTCTGTGGCTGGGGGGAGAGAGGATTTTGCCTAGGTACATCTCCAGCTCTGGTGTTCTTGCTTCACCTGGCAGCTGATGAATTTTAAGAGGATTTCTTTAAAATAAACAACCCAAACCTTCCAGATCTCAAGCCCCAGGCAGTGTCTGCTACCGTTCCCTGTCTTCCTGCCTACATCCTCTACATGTGCATCAGACATGCAGATTACATCAATGATGACCAGAAAGTGCACTCCTTGCTCACCTCCATCATCAACAGCATTAAGAAAGTGCTGAAGGTAGGTGTCCTTTTTCTCTGGTCTGGGGGTTGAGATGGTATAAGGTCATAGTAACCGTGTCCAAGTGTGTGATATTCAGCTCTCAAAGTGGTTTTCAAACCCTATTGCTCTTCTAGCTTCCCTTTTTAGAAGAACAAGGAGAATTATGATTGAATTTGTTTGCATTTACAGATTTAAAAGCATGTTTGCAGGGAAGAAATGTCTGATATTGCCCATATGCAGAGAGACCTTTCTAGGCGGGAAAACTCAAAATCACTGTGTGTTGTTATATCGGAATCTCCCACTGAAGCAAGGGGTCTCACATGTTTTAATTCCTCTCCTCCAGAAACACAACAATGATTTTCAGATGACGTCGTTTTGGCTGGCAAATACATGTCGTTTCCTGCACTGTTTAAAGCAGTACAGTGGAGATGCGGTAAGGAACTCGTCGCTGATCTCTGGTATTCTGATGTTCCTCCAGGAAGGGTCTGCAGGTTTCTTGGGTGCGGTGCCTTCCCTCTGGCTACGACGTGGGGTCATCTCTGGCTTTCCTCCTTTGTTGATTCGCATACAGCATGAGGCAGCTCCTAGAATCATAGAATCTCCTATGGTTTGGTTGGAAGCCCTCCCAGTCCCACCCCCAGCCATGGGCAGGGACACCTTCCACTAGACCAGGTTGCTCCAAGCCTCATCCAGCCTGGCCTTGGGCACTTCCAGGGATGGGGCATCCACAGCTTCGCTGGGCAACCTGGGCCAGGGTTTCATCACCCTCACCATAAAACATTTCTGCGTTGTATCTAGTGTGAACTAGTTCGTGGGGCATTGCATCAAGACAAACTTCTGTGAGCTGAAGGCAGGACCCTTACAGCGCGCAGCAGGATGTTTTGAATTTCACAGCCAGTCAGGCACTCAGATTTGTCTGAATGGAGGATTTTCTTCTGGTTGGCTGTTTTTGAAGGCTGTTCCCCTGGTTTTACTAGGTCCCAGCTTTTCATTATCCAAGATTTTTAGACAGGGGAAAGCTGTTCCAGATTTTGCAGTTTTATTTTGCATGTTTCTACTGATTTCCGCACACACCCCCCGCCCCCCTCCCCCATTCTGTTCAACTAGATCAAAATAACCACCCTTTGAGAGAGAAAAAATGCCATAATCATAATACAAGATTTGGAAACTAAATCCTCTCGTTTCATGCCACCTCTGTAATATTTCATAAGTTGAAATAAGTTTTATTACAGCTGATTCCTTCTGACAAAATCATCACAGCCCTCTTGATGATTTTACACACTGCCATCCTTACAGATGTATGTTATTCTGGATATTAAAATTTTCAACAGAGCCAAATGACGTCGTTTCTCATTTAGTCTTGATTAGTGTTAGACATGTTGAGCAATCAAGCTCTAAGAATAAAGAAAAAACATTTTCATAGAATCAAATTAACTATTCAGGTCATTCACAAGATAATGGTGTGTAAAACCTCGGTGCCGGGACTTCCAGGATTTAAATTTAAAAGAAAGATAATTTAAATAATACTAATTAATAGTTGTGCTCCTGTCTGCCCCCTTCTGCCTGGATAACAACATTACATCTTACAGAAAATCTGGAAAACCAGAAGGGTAAAAAACCAAACCAAACTTAAATTTCACATTCTTTGCCATGATTTACTGGGTTAAACGAATCAGCTATTTGCAGATTCAGTTGATAATTTGGTACCCAAAAAAAAATAACCCACAGAGAGAGAAAAATAATTCTGAGCAGTTCCCAAAATATTGTTGTCATTAGTTTGGAATCCAACCTATTTTTAAGAAAAAGGGTTTAAAAGAAAATCCCAAAGTAGATGCAATCTTGCAGTGCAAGGAGCACGATGCTTTTCCATTAGTCAGGAAAAAATGAGAAAATCTGAAGCTGGCTAAAATTGTATGTGTTGTATTTTTGCATTTTGCTAGTCAGCAAATATAAAAGAAAATTTGCAAAATGCAAAAGTTAACATTTTGACACCGAATTGATAAGAACATATGAACAGGCAAGTAAAGCATCTGTGTTAATTACAAAATTAAGTTAGGTCATATTTGCTTCTGCCAGCAAAACTGTCATTAATGTCTCAGCCCAGAACTCAGGGCTGCAGCATCCGTTTACCGGATCAGAGATCAGCTGCTTCTTCAGCAAAAGGCAGGGAATAAATTCAATTACTTGAAGAGATTTCTGAACTTCTGATCAGTTTAAAATGTTGTCAAAGCATGGCATGTGGTTGTCGGGGTTTTTTAAATTATTTTTTATTTTCTAATATCTTAATCTCAGAGTATTTGGTTTCCAGTAAGTAGTTACAACTCACAGGGATAATTAGCTAAAAAAAAGTTTATCAGGGATTGAAATGTCATTTTCTAGTTCATATATATAGTGCAGTCAGTGCAAATGTTGCTCCTTCCTAAAGCCGAAATGAAAAACTTATCCCTTAATGACGCTTTTCTTCAAAAAGCAGCCCTCTAGTAATAATTTATGAACAAAAGCATGAGTAAATCGAAGGTGATTTATGAGTCTTCATCTCTTCTAAAACAGAGTAAAAGTGTACTTTGGTGACGTATCTGGTTATATTGTACTCTGAAGCGCTGGGTTTTTAATGCAGTGATTTTCCTGGACTGTAAATAGGTGGTGTAATGAAACCAGGTGTTCTGTTCTCCTTTTCAGGGTCTCATGACACAAAACACACCTAAGCAGAATGAGCACTGTCTCAAGAACTTTGACCTGACCGAGTACCGCCAGGTGCTGAGCCACCTCTCCATCCAGATCTACCATCAGCTCATTAAGATAGCCGCGGGCGTACTCCAACCCATGATCGGTAAGTTCACAGCCCAGTAGCTTTTAGGAGTTAGGGGTGTTTTTGTTGTTTCTACCTGCAGTTATCTACTCTGAGTGTTTTTCAGACCTTTGTCCCGTGCTAGCATGGCTTCTCCCCAGAGGAAGAGCCTGCATTTGGCAAAGAGGCGCATGTTACAAGGCTTGGTTGGGAGCAGGTCCTCGTGTTAGCAGTGACCTGGATGAGTTTTTGTTTTTCCCCTACAACGGGAACTAATAGGGATCAGACTGTTGGGTTTTTTTCCCCATAATAGAAGATACCTCCTTCTTTTGAACTGGGGAGGTAGTGGCAGAGGTGAGGTGGTGCTAGTGGCTCCATAGGAACAGCATCCCCCTCCAGGCCAGGTTTATGGTTAAGCTTTTTATGGGTGGAAATGTGCATTGAGGGAAGGAGAGAATTGAGAAGAGGAAAAAGAGATGAAAAAAGGCCTTGTTTTGCAAGGGCGAGTCGGTGTGAGAAGAGTTACCTCCTCAGCTAAATCTGTCCTCTGCCTGCCAAGCTAACTGAGCGGTAGTTCTCAATGCTTTATGTTTTCTAGCTGCTGGTATTTCCCTTGAGCTCTCAGCCTTGACTCCTCTGTATCTGGGACTCGTTCCCTTTGCCCTCCAAATGTCATTGCACAAATTCTGTCTGTATCCGGTGGCATCACCCTCTGCCATTGCTGCATGTACCTCCTGCTCCTTGCAGGAAGTTGTCCTGTTCCTCCACCAGTTAGGCCGTAAGAATTTTATTGCTTCTAATCTGTCTTCATTTCTCCCAATCCTTTGAGCCAATTAATCTCTTTAACTGCAGAATTTAAGACTCTGTGGTAGATATAGGGGGAGAATTGATTACAGCTCAAAAGAGAGCTGTTCACAGTTTCCGCAGCATGGCAAGTGATTTTTGTGTAGTTACACCAAGGGAAAAAAGTGTAATCTTACAGATATTTTGTGTGCTTCAACTATTTCATATTATCACAATAAACTAGCAATTCCTGGATCTGTCGTCCTTTCAGACTGCCCAGCAACCATCCTGTTGCCTCACTTTGACACTGCTGCATGATTATGACTGCCCAGGAAGGAGAATTTCTTACCTCCAGTGACTAATAGGTGGATGCAGGCTTTTTCTGGCTCATTTTTCTCCCTCTTTTTCAGTGTCTGCGATGTTGGAAAGTGAGAGTATCCAGGGGCTTTCTGGTGTCAAACCGATGGGCTACAGGAATCGCACCTCCAGTATGGCAGATGCTGACAGCCTCTACAGCTTAAAAGATATTATTCGCCAGCTCGGCACGTTCCACAGCGTCATGTGTGACCAGGGTCTGGATCCGGAGATCGTGCAGCAGGTCTTCAAGCAGCTCTTCTACATGATCAATGCGGTCGCCCTGAACAACCTCCTGCTGAGGAAGGATGTCTGCTCATGGAGCACAGGCATGCAGCTAAGGTGGGATATGGGATTGGGGTAGGGATGTACCTGCTAAAGGAATTACATCTTTGTCAGTGACGTGGATGA